CAGAAGGCTTCCAGGAAAAGCACTGGAAGCCTTCCAGACCCCCCTACCCCGCCGCCGGAAGCCGCCCCGCCCTGCCTACCCCAGCCATGCTCGGACTCCTGGGAGTTCGAGCATGGTTGGGATAAGGCGGCGCAGGGCGGCTTCAAGTGGAGGCGGCAGGGTGGGTGGGGGTCCATCGCTATGCGAATTCAACGTTAAACGGGGCGCTCGTTATATGAGGCACCACTGTACCTCCCCGTAGCACATAAAGCACTCTCTGGGTAGTTTACAAGTTAATTATGCAGGCTACACATTCCACCCACCCACCCTCAGGAACTGGGTACTCGTTTTACCAACCTTGGAAGGATAGAAGGTTCAGCCAACCTCGAGCCGGGTACTGAACCTCGGACTGTGAGCACAGTTTTGGCTGCAGTACAGCAGTTTAACCACTATGCCATGAGGTTCCTCCAAATGTGGAAGTCTCAGAAGTGTTATCACAAAGTTTCCATTAATGTGCATTTAATAAGCCCGGTTCTTTATTGCCTCGGTTGTTCTTACTTATAAAAACAATGGTTTTAAGTTTATAATTTTTTTAAATATGAAGAACCAAAACTATGAACACAGAACTTTATAGAAATAATTCAACAAACTCCTTCAGAAAAAAAAACTAACACAATTCTTTAACCACTAAGGATTCAGAATAATCGGACTGCAGCTTCTACTTGCCTAGTCAAAAGGAAGCCCCATTGAGTTCAATGGTACTTTCAGGTCAGCAACAACAGGACTACAGACTGTTCTATTAATTCTGGCACATTGGTCAGGATGCATTCAAAATTCAAGTGCTGGGTTACCAAACACCTTAAAACACTCATACCTGGTAAAGGAAGAAGCCGAAGGTTACATTTCTGTGCAATTGTCATCATTTTGTTTTCTTCCTCTCCATGGCAGCAATATGTCACAGCCAGTCCTAATGTTCCTGCAACAAATCAAAGAAGGAAATTAGTGGGCTGCTGTTGCAGATCACTCACCTGCTATTACATAACTTAGTGCAGTGTTTACCAAAGCGTCCTGCTCTACCAATCCGATGCATGTATGTTTCCCAGTCCAAAGGCACATCTAAGTTAACGACTAGATTCACCTTCTCAGCATCAATTCCACGGGACGTCTGAGAGGGGAAATCAAAGGGAGAAAAGAGTGGAAGGCAGTTTATTAATTTACACCTCCTTCTCTATATTCTAGTGTGTTTTAAGCAGGACACCATAGATTGTCAGATAGTTCAGGAAAAATGAAAACGCAGGAATAATACAAACAGAAAAAAGATCTTGTTGCTCTAAATTTGCAAGCCAATATTTTCAGTGCAGACCTGTATTTCAGATAGATCCATTAACATCAGAAAAAACTAGGCAGGAAAATTTAAAAAACAAACAAAAGCCAACTGTATTCAAGATGTGCCTTTCACTGGGAGCTAGAATTTTAACTTTGCAGTTTGAATGCCATCATTTCCCTATATTAAACACATGAAACTTACACATGAGATCATTCTAAATACTGGGTATGTCAGGAGTCTAAACATTTTTAGCTTAAAGTCTTGGTCAGAATACTTGTACAACTCCCAGTATAAAAGATATTTACATATGTGCCTGGAATAGACAGTGCACGTTCAGAGAGGCAATCAAGAAAACACATGACAGGCATTGTATAAAGGTGATACTTTACTCTCATAAAAGGTAAAACTATGGTATACAGTTTAAGGAACACATACTTGTAAACTAACAAAGTAAGCACAGTATTGAGTTTAAATAATAACAACTCACTAAATCAGTTGAAATCAAAACTCTGCAGTGGAATTGCTTAAGTTTAGCCATAGCATCAAGTCGCTGATTCTGATTCATGCTGCCTAAAGAAATAAAGACAAATAAATAAAGGGTGGATAGCGAAGGACTAACAAGCATATTAGCAGGACAACTTGCTGCACGTTGTTTAAAGTAATACAACTAATAGCTGAAGAGTCATAAATGTGATCAAAACTAAAAACCAGTGAATTTGTTTCTACTCTTTAAGCCCTGCTAATTTAGCCCCAAGGCATGCTGAAAGTTGAATACAATCTGAATACCAGAACTACATCTCACAAATAAGTAACAGTAAGAATGTCTTTCAACACAAGAAAATATTCTGTTCATAGTATTTTAGACTAACAGATTTATTTCTGTGTAAGTGCATATAAAATTCCAGCCTAAACTATCCCCACCTAACAGGTATAGTTACACATACATAATTTTCATGTAAGATTCTTCATCTGCACAAAAGTAACACAGGAGGCTTAAAGACTCACCTGAAATGCACTCAGCAGGAAAGCCTTTCCATGTCAGTAAGTCAGCCAAGTGTTGAGCTCTTAGGGGAAAAGAAAGAGATTAGACCAAAAAAATGTATGACTTCCCTCTTTATCAGCTTCCCTGACAACAGTGAATGACAGTTTCCCTAACAACTTCATTCACTATGTATGTCAGGAGCTTCTGACTTGTTTTTACCTTTTAACTGGAAAAAAGAACTGAGCTTCAGGTACAGTTTGATTCTAATATTCCGATTACATTCAGCCTGATAACAGTTGTTCTAAGAGTAGACAGCCAATCTTACAAGCTGCTGATAGCCTTGCTCATAATTTCTCTCTCCCAGTATCATACACACATGGATTCTCATTTAATGAAACAAGAGCACTGTACAAAATAATCTGATCTGTTCTTTTAGCTATCATACATTTAAGAAACAAATTTTAAAAAAATACCGGCTATGTAGATTTGAGAAGACCAGGGCCTGGTTGAAAGGAATCTTGCTGAATAGCTCCTGTAAATGTTCAACCTTCTCCTCAAAGGTCTTATGAGGTAATGGGTGGGAATTCACAACTTTGTAGTACTGCTTCAACCCTAACCAAGACAGAATACACTTATACATAATACAGAAAAACAAAACGCTCTGCAGAAAATGACATAAATTACACAATTAATAAATGTTTGCACTAATATGTCCAGCTGACACTTCATTGTACAGCGTGCTGGTTTAGCATTCTATGTACAACCAATTCGATATACTTTTTAAAATGCTATTGCTGTAAGTTTAGAAGCAAATACAGGTACTGAGGTGTGGGTGATCAGAAGGTAAATGTGGATCTACTGGTAAATTGCCAATAGTCCCATAAGGATTTTTGACTTGCAACTATTTAACACCACAGTAGCCATTCTAAATTATAATGAAAACAGTACATAGAACATTTGCTAACAAAGATAAAATGTTATGTCTAAACACTGGAGTCCTCTAAGCTCCAAACTGTGGATTGTGGGTGTTGCAATGAAAACCACTGTAGATCCTATAAGCCTGAAATCTGCTCACCATAGTAGAGAATATAGAAACAGAAAACCAATACATACCTATGAGGCTTGGGTCAGTGGCATTCAATCTCACAAACGTAGGATCTCTCATGTATCTAGTCAAAGTATTAGCCAAGGATTCAGGATAAGTGGCTGACACAGCCAACATCTGCTTGTTAGCTGGCAGAGAAGAATAAATCCAGCTGGGAAAGAGAAATACAGGGAAGAAACATTCAGAGCAAATGCTTCAAATTAATGTATTTATACTTAGGGCTTTACTTTCCAAAACAGAAATGAATGACAGAGAGTACTATTTTGGGTGGGAAAGAGACAAAGAGGCATATAATCAACATATTGATGAAATCACATGTCGCATTTCTCCCACAGATTCTAGAATAATATGGTCACTATTTTATTTTTTGTTTAAAGGCTCTGGCATGGAAGGAAAATCACTCAGTACTACTTTCTGAAACCAGTCAGTAGTACCATGCCTTTTAAGCCCATGCCAGTCAATCAGGACAGAAGAATACCATGATGAGAATCAATACATCTGTCAGGGCCTGAGCCCCTTTTAAGGGTTTTTTGGACCTTGGAGGGATGCACATTTCCTTGCATGCTCTAGGGGGGGAAGGAATGGAACCAATATGACAAACTACATCGCCAGAAATATATGAAGAGTGTCATTTGCCATTTGATGGGAAACAGGGCTATCTAAGACTAGAGAGAGTGTCATTTGCCATTTGAATGTAATCCTCCTGATGGGAAACAGGGCTATCTAAGACTAGAAAAAACACATTTTCAAAATAGGAAAATGGAGACAACACACATTTAAATGTCAAATACTGTCTCCTCCACCCATTACTGGCTGCCTCTAATATTAACCTTATACAGACTGTGGCTCTAACAATGCCAATATAAGCAACATTTTCACAGAATTAATTGCATATTAGGCATAATGGGTTGAAAACTCCAATATAGTTACAAAAACATTTATTTCAGAAACAGATTTTAGAAAAGTAAAAAAGTGGTATTTTAAAAATTATCAGAGTCCATGGAAACATACCATCTATCACCTGTCATTCTTTAAAATGAAACGAGACTATCTGCCTAAGAAGGCATTTTTCTTATAATCTATTGTGCTTACTTGACCTGCTCCTGGAAACTTCCTTCCTCCAAAAGCTTATCTGCTTCATCAAGAATGAAGAGACGGACGCTAGCTGTATTCAGATAGTCCAGCTCTATGAGCTGCTTTATGCGACCTGTCAAGGAGAAAAGCAGTTACATGCAAAACTGTTTTTACACATTTGCACTGCCTGTATTAAATATTCTTCTGTCACATGTTCATGCTAGTTTGCTAGCTCAGCAAGTTGGAGCAGCTGGCTACAGAACCAAGAGTCTGATTCCTTACTGTGTCTCCCAGATGCCCCGGACTGTGTAGGCTTGGGCAAACCACACAGTCCTAGAGTGTCATGATAACGGATTAGTAAAACAGTTCTAGTGTTTTATACCTAGAAAACCCTGGCAAGGATTGTGTCTCCCAGAAGCCCCGGACCGTGTAGGCTTGGGCAAACCGCACAGTCCTAGAGTGTCATGATAACAAGGGATTAGTAAAACAGTTCTGGTGTTTTATACCTAGAAAACCCTGGCAAGGGTTGCCACAAGTTGGATTTTACTTGAAGGCACATACAGTAATTAACACATCTGCAGAGGCTAACATCTACCAGTTCTTAAATGTTGTCGATACTATATTTTCTTACCAGGGGAGCCAACTGCTATATGACATTTTTTCAGTCTTAGTTTATCTTGGTTTAAAGGAGTCCCTCCGATGAAGACATGGCATTCCAAACCTTCCATTTTGATCCCTATAGTTGTAATAACTGCATGTATTTGTACAGCAATCTCTCGGGTAGGAGCCAAGATCAAAATCTGAAATAAAGAAGAGCAAACTCTAATAGACTATATGAAACAGCAAAATTCAAATATATAAACTTTCCTTCCAGATTAGATGTGCTTCCTCCTCTGACTGTTTTTGTAACCACTACAGCCATTGCTGTAGTACCACATTCTGCAGCGCCACAGAATGGAAAAACCTGCCATCACATAAAAACGAACAGTATCGGAGAATATGCGTAATGTCCCAGAGAAAAATCATGCCCCACAAAAAATCCAGGAAGCTCATTTTCTTATAAACTAAGATATATACTGTACTCTCTACATGTGTCCCAATCCAGCTGAGATCTCGAAACAACTTTTTTCCTGAATTTTGCCAGTAAATAGCTATAAGGAGGAAATTGTAGCCCAGAGATGTATCTGATGGGCTAAATTGGGCACCCAGACTCACTGCAGTTGCTGACACCTTTTCCAGATTATCAACCATGGATCTGATCTGATCATCAATGACAGATAGCCCTTTAGTGAAATTTATACAGTCAGAGGACTTCTCATTTTTTGTCACATAATCCTTAAATACATACAGTTGTTCCCAACACTGTGTCCCCAGATATCAGTTTCAAAAGTCCATTGGTTCTGAAGTGACAACTAGCTATGGGTGTTTTTACAATTAGTAAAACAGATCCATATGTACAAGCAGACAAACAAAAATGTTAGTGAACTAATATTACATAGATTTATTTGCAAATGTGCTTCTAAGAGTTAAGAACACATAGATGTTCCTCTAAAATTTTACACAAGATTTTCTGTACTCGCCTGTGTAACTGGACTTTCTAGGATAAGAGAGTCGAGTGCAATAGTAGCGAACACACAGGTTTTACCAGTGCCAGATTTCGCTTGCACAATGAGATCTGAAAAATAAAGAAAGGGTGTACATCACAAAGCAGTCAAAAGAAGAAACCAGGGCAAGGATGTTCCATAAAATAGGTCAGTTTTTCCAATGGCTGCCTGAGGGAAACTCAAGACGCCCTTAAAAACTCTTAGGAGGTTCCTTAATAAAAAGACATATCACAGTAGACAATTTACCCTCAAGGCCAAATGTGGACATCACTAATTGCCCAAAGCACATGCAGCCACACAAAAATGGTGGGCGTATCATCAGATTGTTGTTGTTTTCCCATGTGAATCAGGGAATCTGGTGACAATTCACAGCAGCATCAAAGTGACTCTGTTGCATTAAAAGCTGGCAAACCTGGGCATCTTAAAAATGAAAACACTTTTAGTACAGCGTGTGCTTCGATGAACGACAGTCTGCTTCATGAAAGACTTTCCGTGTTACCCGATGTTTATAGCGAGAACTAAATTACCTCCAAGTGCAGATACCAAGGAATGCATTACATTTTAAATAACGGAAAGCCACTGCGTGGGACTAAGCGTGGCACACCAGGTAAGACGGAGAACGTAAAACAGTACTCTCTGCTCCATCGCCAGCACGGCTGGGGTCCACCTCAGGAGCTAACTTCGGACGCTCGACCCTCCTCCCTCCATGGCCAGCGGGGGCTCCGCCCGCGGACCCCTGAACGCCGCTCCTCACCTAGACCACACCGACCCAACGGGATGGCTTTGAGCTGCACCGGAGAAGGCCGAAGGAACCCAGCAGCTTTGAGCCCTTCCAACACGGGGGCCGACAACAACAGCGACCCAAAATCCTCGGGGCCGTCCTGCACGTGGGCATCCCGTGTACGGAGCCAACGCTCGGCTAGAGCCCCCGCCGCTTCGGGAGCCGCCATTTCAGAAAAAGCGCTGCGGCTAATATCGCGAGAAGTCGACGCACCGCGAGAAACAACCGGCAGCCCCTTTATCGTAGTTAAGGAAACTATTGGCTGTGACCAGAAGAAACTATTTGGGAAACGGGATGAGGGGGGAGAGAAATAGTGACGCGTTGCCGAAAGGGAGGGGGGAGGAGGTGGATTGGACGAGGCACGCGAGACAAAACCATTGAAATCAGCCGGGGAGGGGGGTTCGTTTTGCAGCAGGCTGGGAGCGCGCGATGTTCCTAATAGGAAATGGCAGGTTCTTGGAAGGGCATAACGGAGGGACGTTTAAAATTGGTAGCGAGGGCCGGAAGAGGGCGATTTAGAAGGGCGCTGTTCCCCTCTTATTCGGAGGGAGCTAGGAGGAATACGCCGTTCGATCTACTGTACTGTACTCGCAGACCCGAAGTGCAGGGTGGCCCGTGTGCAATTCTTTTTACCGGATCATTAAAAAGATGCCAGGCGTGCTTTAGAACGTTTTATCAGGCAAAGCTGGTATAATTTTTTGGCTTCCTCAGGCGCTCTTCCCAGCCCCAACAAACATAAAATAAGATTTGCCAGAGCTGTGGAAAAGCTCAAGGGGGCGTTTCTTTCAAAAAGGTTAAGAACCACTGCTTTAGAACGTTTTATCAGGCAAAGCTGGTATAAATTTTTGGCTTCCTCGGGCGCTGTTCCCAGCCCCAACAAACATGAAATAATATTTGCCAGAGCTGTGGAAAACTCACGGTCGCACCTTGATTGCAGTTTTTTCAGCGAACCAGGAAAGGAGATGCTCAACTCACCACTTTGTTTCATTACACCTGGATGTCATGCATTTATAGTAGGGGGTGACTGGACTCCAAAAAAAATAATGATGATGATAAATAAAATAAAAAAAGACAAAACTTCGTTTTGCTGACCAAGAGGAAGGAAGAAACAGAATGCCAGATTTTATATATCTATTAGTCCCTTGAAAATGGCCCAACATATTTTGTAAGGTTTAGAATTTTACACAAACATCAAAAGAAAAAAAGGTATGGCTGATATTGAATCCTCAGTGTTTGCACTTAGAAGCCAAGTTGTGCATCCAACAGCAACAAAGTCGGAATAAGACTGCATGCTTCACGTGGGAATGAATTCCACGGAACTCGATTGAATTTACAGTATTTCTCCATACACATGGATTGATATTTTATAACTGCAATAATAATAACATTGGTTGTTGTGAGTTTTTCGGGCTCTTTGGCCGTGTTCTGAAGGTTGTTCTTCCTAACGTTTCACCAGTTAGGAAGAACAACCTTCAGAACACAGCCAAGGAGCCCGAAAAACCCACAACAACCATTAGATCCTGGCCGCGAAAGCCTTCGCAAATACAATAATAACATTGTTCTACCCATTGTTGCTTCCACAGAAACTCATTGTTTCTTTATATTTGTTTCTAGATGGCAATTGTCTTGAAGCAGAAACTTGTCCTTTTCAGTTTTCTGTAAATCTCTGTCTAGGGGGATGATAATATAATTCTTATTATTACTAGTAATGTGGGGGTCCTCAGAACATCCGAGTGATTACAGGTAAAGGGAGATATATGGTGATGGCACAGTTCCTACTCGTTGCAGAAGAACGATGAACAGATATTTAAACGCTGTTCACTGTTTTGGCACTGTGACCAACCGTCAGACTCAAGTTAGTCAGATCAGCCATCCCTCCACTCTAAATCTGGTGTTGTTGAACACCAGGTCTGTATCCAACATATCTCAGATTATTCAAGATCTTATTCTGGGAGAGAATGCAGACCTGGCATGCATAACTGAGACTTGGATGGGCGGGGAAGGGGGTGTTCTCTTGACTCTTGCCTGTCCTCCAGGTTATGCAGTCCAACACCAGGGTAGACTGGCAGGGCGGGGGAGGAGGAGCCATTATCTATAAAACACTCTAGAGGTTGTTAGGCGCTCAGCAGTGGTGATGCCACGTCTTCAGGCCCTACACGTGTTGATTGGGGCCAGGGATGGTACTGGAATCTTGCTGGGTTACCGCACTTTCCGCGACCCAGCCATTCCCTTATCGGAGCTGGCAGACTTTGTCTCCGTGGCACTGTTGGAATCTCCAAGGCTTTTAGTCTTGGGTGATTTCAACATCCATGTGGAGGCAGAGGTTTCGGGTCTGGCTCTTGAGTTCTTGGAAACCATGGCTTCCTTGGACATGTCCCAA